GGACTTTGTCGGCATGTTTTCTTTTTCCGAATACCCCAAATCCCCCTTCTTTCAAGTTCATGCGAAGTAGGCATATAGCTTGAGAGTATTCCAGTGGATATGAGACTCCTCAGCAGGGTGCGTCTACTTCTCAGTCGTACTCGGAGCCCGGATCTTACGCCTTATACACCTGAGAACTGTCCATTAGGCTGTCGTGTCACCAGTTCCTCATATCGTGCAACGGGCGTGGAATTTCGCTTCTCCTTTTGACATTTCTCCCTTCATCACACCCAAGAACACGGGTATTATCGACGTCTTTTCTGTCCATGCGTGCCTCGACATTACATCTGCCTCAGATTCATCTTCGGAAGCACATTGCCTGGTGGAGAAGTCAACGGACAGAACTCCGCTTTATTTCAGGTTTGTCAGATGGGTGTATCTTCCACCCGATCAGAGGCGTCGCTACCAGTAATTCTCGAAGCGTGGATACGTGTCACCCATCAACATAAAATAAACCACCAGGGTATGGAGCCACGAGCCACGGACTGATGCAACAGGGATACAGTTTTGGTGCTGCTTGTTATATATCTTAGTCGATTCTGCCGAATAATACCGATTTCATCGGCACATTTTCACTTGGCGGATGTCTCAGTATTCCGTCTCTTTGGGTTCAGCAGAAGTGGATGGCTTGGCTGAAGAAGAAAACTAAGAGTGGTACAAAGCCATCGATCGGATTCGTCAGGTGTGTTAATCTGCCTCTTAGTGAGCGATGTCGTTCCCGATAAGATCTTAAGCCTAAATGGATCGCTGTAAACTCCCGGATGTTATTTTCTAGTCCAGTGCATGACGTGGCTCACATAAGGCACGGCCGGCGTCATAATGCGTTGGCACTTTTGTTATGTTTTCTACAATACTACCGAAGCATGTGGCGTTGATTGGCACCAGATCTCGCTAGACGTGCGCGAGTTTTCCCTCTGCTTCAGGTTCCTATGAAGTCAATACTGGCTGAGAGTGGACTCGATGAATGGTACTTGGTCCTATTTGTGTATCGTCAAGTGGATATATCTGCCTCCTACTCAGCTACATCATTCCTTTCGGGACTTGGATCCCGATCTGGTGGCTTCTAGTCCCGGAGTATTATGTAAAATGTTAATGAATCACGAGATATGTAGATCATGCTATAGGCATGGGATTACATTGCTACCTCCACCCAGCACCGACTGCACCTCTTAGCCTTGTGGAAGACCCGGTTGTGGCGGTTCCATTGGAACTGGGGTATCAGTAGAAACTCTTGCGACATGTAAACCCATTCCCCCAGTTAACCCAAGGGTATCTCACTTTACGAGAGGCATTTCCGCGCGCCCTTAAAGCAACGGTGGGGCTGCGACGTAAAGCTTCAGAGCCCTGGTCCTTCTCTTTCCACCTTGTTCTGAAAAATGCAATGCTGACGGTAACATGGTTATTGCTGAATATTACCGACACTTGAGTTAACACACATGACATGTTTTCGTCAATGGGGGATGGCAGAAGGACAGAAGGAAGGAAGGAAACTGAATATACGGGAGCAGTCGGTTCAACAGTGGGCAAACTAGTGACGCCGTGTTGACAGTGCCCACAGACCCAATTTGGCGCCATTTCACGGTCAAACACATTAGGTTTCTCGTTGAAGGAGCCTGCATGTTTCCTAATAGCAGCGTGGAACACAATCAAAAATTACCTTAAGTAAGGTGCACAGTATTGATTGTAGGGTATGACCAGATCCCAATAGATGGCGACTTCAACGCCTCAACTATTGGCTCGGAGTAAGGCAGAACCACTCCGAGCCGGAAGTTTGATGGTAACCTGCCGTGCCCCATCCAAATGATTGGACCGCACGAAAAGATTGGCACCGTTTCCCACTGGGGGACAGATGCCAAACCTCTAAACTGGATTACCTGCTATCTATTCGCTGAAAACGTTCAGGTCCAAACTTTTCTTGGGAACAGTGGTCATGGTATGATAGTTCGATCTGGCAATCAGCTAACAAATATCACTCGGGGGATTTTGCCCTCGCCTCTGTTACAAAGGGCAAACTACGAAGGAATGAATCGTTGTCCGACGATAACTCCATGGACAGTGGGTCGGCGCTCCTTACTAGCTGGCCGGCACTAGGACACTATGACACTATGACAGAGAATTCCGAAGGCGTCCCCTCGCTGGTGGCAATGCTTAGAAAGCAGACCTCATGAACGAAATCGGCTACCGAGTGCCTCCTGAAAGTCGAGAGGAGATAATAACATAAATGGAGGGTCTCCGGAGGAGAGGATAATCGTGACGCAAATATAGCTCTACGAAATGAATTCAACATCAAGACGCGACGAGACACGAGGTCGTTTCAGTTCAACCTGAGGTAAGTGCCAAAACCCCATACTGATTCGCAGTGAAGAGAGAATCTATAGGTCGAGGAGCACGCGCCATTCAAGGTCGGAACGGTGAAACCACTGTGGGCCGGAGATCGCCAGGATGTTAGGCGCACCTTCGACACAGCTCAGCATCTCATCATGAAAACCCACAGCATGGACGACCCCCGTGACGTTATTCGACGCAGCAGAGTTACGTGAAGTACAGATAACTCATGCTGTTGTTCTTGATGAGTGCGGGAAAATCCCCATTGCGTGACGACATTCAGCCATTCGTGTTGAAACAAAACGTGAGTGCCCCAAGCGACCCACTGTGAAATATTTTCCGACACCTCTCAGACGAACAAAGGCTCCCGTGGGAGTGGAAATGCACCATCCCGTCTCTTATCTTCAAAGGAGAAGACAGACACAACCCTAACAGTTATTGACCCGCAGCACTTTCATTGGCAATATCGAAAGTTATGGAAACCATGATGGACGACCATATCAAGGAATAATTGAACATGAGCCAAGCACTCAGTGGTGCTCAGCACGGCTTTCGCCAGTGCTGACAGCTCATGGCCATTCGGCGGCATGCTGGGACCTCGAAATCCGGGTTCAGGCGATGTTTCCGGATTCCGTCGAAGCCTCTGACAGAGACTTGCACACCACACCAATGCACGAAAAGCTGGGTTGGGTATCCACAGCCACGTGCTATGGTGGTTGGAGAACTGCTCACATAATGGGGGAGAATCAACAGGATCTATCCAACTTGGGGAACATCACCATCTGGCGTATCAAAAGGGGGAATTCTGGGTCTGTTAATGTTGCCACTCTTCGTGAACGACCTACAGCTGCATATCAGCCCTCCGGTTCTTCGCTACACTGGCAGCGTCAAGCCATGGACAGCAGCAACGTGTGAAACGAAACCAAACGCACTACAGGACGACCTCGAGACACTCAAGGAGTGGAGGAAAAACAACGAATTGGCTTTTTATCAGAAGAAGCCCCAGTCCATGTTCTTCTGTACTCACGATGCCAAGCAGGTATCTTGCCCCTTCTGTAGTTCACATCTTTTTCATGTCACACCGGGGGAAGTTCTTGGTTTGACGGGTTTGGAGAAACTGGACACCAATAGCAATTGCCCATGAAATGCTTCAATACATACGCCGTACCAAGCTTTTTGCGTAAACAATCACTTGCCATCATGCCTCACCCCTGAGCTCTTCTTCAAATTCTACAAAAACTGAATACGACCCTACCTGAAGGCCCATAACGCATTTGTTCCACCACACTTGGGAAGGGGCACGAACCTCCTGGGAAAGTTCAGAGACAAGCCACAAAGGTGCTGTAGAGATGCGCCAAAAACCACAAGAAGGCAGAGTAACCGGGTCACGCCTATACTGTCCTGGTTGCCGATGGTGACGAGGTGACTTGATAATGGCTCACAAAATACTAAATAACCCAAGTCACCCGAAAAGAGGAACACTACCGACAGGCTACTATGGTGATCATTGTGGAAATCCAAGCAGAAATGCCCGCCAAAGGTAGTAACCTTGTGTGTGTTCACACTTCTACCCTGTAGTCTGCGGGTACTGGAATGCACTACCAGCAAAATTAGTCTCCGCTGCATCAGTTTTAGTTTCGAGAAAAGTCCAGACAGCTACACAGTGACCCACAGTTAATTGCCATCTATTTGGAATAACGAAGAATCAACTGCTGTTACACCATTCCAACAGTGTTACCTCTACACCGACTCTCTTCCTGTTCTAGACACTTATGTACTTTTAATCCTTCTTGTTCTTCAAGGATTAACCTCACTCACCTAAGTCCTGGATATCTTTGCACTCCTCTCGTCTTACTTGGGTGTATGTAGACCACTCCATCATTTCACTGTTTCCTGTCCTTTACTCATGCACATTTATCTTCCTTGGTTATCTCTTCATTATCCCTAACCCACTTTTGCGACCTGCCCGTACAAGTGTCTGGTAACTGGACACCGGGAGAACCCAACCGAACCACAGTATAGCAAAACAACCAACACTGAACCACCTGTTGTGTACACCAGAACCATAATAAAAGAGCGGCTGGATGTATTACTTCGGAGTCCGCCAAAGACTTGGAACGGTTCCGCAAGACCAGAAAAAATCTAACTAGCAAAAAGATATTGGAACCACTCGTTGGGTATACCTGAGGTACAGCTAGTGGGTTGGTAGACCTACTTCATCGGAGTCCGCCAAAAGGTGGAACTATTCCGTTAGATTTAGAACCAAGAGTGAGGAAATCAATCAGTTAACAGAAGCTCGGAAAAATGTACTGGATATTGAAATCTCATTTTCACGTCAAAGTCTGCTGGTTGTCATAACCGTTACAAGTGGGTCTTTCGAAACGACGCTTGGCAGACGACCCAAACAACCTCCGAATGAACGTTTTTGACGCCTCAAACAATGCTTCAGCTGATAGTGCTGAAGATGCAAATGATGAAATAACGATTCGGGTGAAAATACAGGGAGAAATTTCCATGACCTCTCAGATGAACAAAATGATTTGATTGTGTTGGACCCTGATCACGTAGGTTTGGTCGGCTTTGTTGCAAGCATATTTTAGCCATTGATGGCCGGTTTTCAAGAGTCTCTAAAGGCTATGGTGTCGAGAAATATTGAAAACGTTGAAATACTTTTAAGGGTGAAGGTAGGTGCTCGATGCTGTTATGAGTTTGCACTAGGACGAGGAGTTAAAACGAGAAAAAGCAGTTCACACAGAAACTGGATGTGAACTTTATAAGCTTCATCAGGAACTCGGAAAGTAAACATATCATTTAATAAAAGATTTTGAGTTGTAGAGCATTTTTACTTCTTACTATTTGATATTTTAGAAATTAGATAAGTCATATTTACTTCACTTTAAGCTGTACTATGAAACCTTTGAAAGAAAGTTAAGTCACCAGAGGAATCTAAGACACACACTTATAAAACATCTAGTACTATTCAGCTCAGTGGATAGAGTCTGGTAATTCCACATGTTTAAAAGGTTTTTTTCCAACATCAAAATCAGGGTTAGTTTTTTCACTTTTGTGAATCTCCACTTCCTGTCACTTATTTGTGTGAAGTATTTTCCTCGTCGTTTAGTATATAAAATAACAGTCTCTAGTTTTTTGAGTAACAGAAAGGTGGGTAACTGGATTTATTTTTTTCCAAATACTTTATGATTATTTGTCCCTTGGGTTCCTAGTGGAACATAGGGCCTCAGTTGCACGTCGCCATTCCACTCGGTTCTCTGTAGTCTTCTGAATCTGGCTACATCACTGTCCAGAAGCTTTCATTTCTTCCTCACATGATCTCCTCCATATCACCCTCACCTCGGACTCCCAACTCATCGTTTCCCCCTTGGATTCCACTCGAGGGCCTAGCCTGCCTCGTGATGTCCCCAAATGGTCTTCTCAGTGTATGCACAATCCAACTCATCTCCACTTTATTCTGCATATTTGTTGGGTGATGGGTTCTTAGCTGGTTTGTCGTCAGTCAGAGTTCCTTGTTGTTTATTCTTTCTGGCCATCCGATCTTCAGTATCGAGTGAGCGTAGGCTGTAGCTGTTGATGTATGTCTGTAGTTTGTTGGAGATGCTTTTCGTGATGCGCCAAGTTTCTAAACCATAAAGTAGCACTCACTCGACTGGATTAGTGTTGAAAATCCGGATCTTGTTCACGCTTTATGCTGAGTGTAGTGGAGTGCAGTAAATCACACTGACTTCAGATTAATAAAGTCCTGTCTTGCTTTTCCAATCTTTTCTTTGACGTCAAACTCCCTTCTTGGTTTTGTGAAAGGCTTCATAATTGTGATACGATCTTACAGGTGTGTCTAAAATGTAGGTTATACTGAAGTCTCATAGTCATTGTGCGTGGTGATGACTACAATATCTGCAGTTTCTTGTTGATGAATCAGCCTTTCTCACTTGATCTTCCTGGACTCTTGTGCTTTGCAAATCTGTAAACTTGTGTGAATAAGTTTTGTTGATGTTTTCAGATTATTTCAAATCCAAACACACTTGGATCAAATGGTCTTTTAAATACACAACAGACTTCTTAGAAATTGAGTCTGTGATTCTTAAATACACATATGAGTCTTACAAATTAAGTTCTTAATTGCTAAGAAAAACAGAAAGAGTAGAACTAATTCAAGAATATTACAATGAGTTTAGAAATGTTGTACAGATGACCTCTAAATCCATGAAGCACTGTTAGTAATTTATGAATGAAATGCATACAGGTTTAAATATTTTTTAGTCTGAAAATGGATGTAATGACATTAGTTTTACAAGAGTCCTAAGTTCTTCACCACCGTTGTCCACTGCTAACGTAAGGTTTTATACGTCAAATATGATTTACAGAATCAAGTGTTTCTCTCCTTCAAAGTAGTCCTCTGCCTAAAATTCGCAGTACACTTACCAGTCTATCCGTTTGCATTCGGTATGCACTTACTTGATTGCAAAACAGTGAGTCCGAATGTTAAGGCACCAACATATAGCTGATTCCTGATTACTTTAAGCTGTGGTGGGCTAAATAGGAAGCGATAAACAAGAAGGCTATGGAGGTATGATATGTATATTTTAATAGATACACCTGTTTTGGCTGTTGTGCATTAAATTGGGATCAGACATAGCAACCGATAATTTAAGACACCTTACTGCTTTACATATTTCAAGTCTTTCATAGGGAATAAACAATTATGAAAGAAGAATATGGATTTATTCAATCTCACAAATTAATTTTTATCGCTGTACATTTTTATTCCTTCTTGGACTGATAAGAATATCCTCTTCAACCTAACGAGGTCAAGCGAACATATTTTAGCATTGTAATTTAATCGTCAATGGCTAGCAGAAGAATCCAACAAACCACCACTAAGTAATTCATAACAATGAATATTCTAGCAATATCAAGGCACCCACGTAGGATACGATATGCCAAGAGATATCAATCACTTAGAAGCAGTATAACAATAGCAGATTAAAAGTATCAACAATTATTACACTTTTACACTGTTTATATTTTATAGTATTTAGAAGGTAAAGGAAATTTTAGTAGTAAACACACCCATACTTTTATTATGCTAGTGTTTATTTCTCCCTATAAATTATCGAAAGTTAAATGAAAACACAAATTCAAGGTAGCGGCTGTTGTAGATACCTTCAAATGATTGTCCTTACATAATCTAGCGTGTGAACTTTCAAAATGGAAAACCCTTCTGCTTCTTAATTTTTATTTATTTGTCATTTTGCAAGAGAACGACGACTGAAGTGTTTTCCCAGTGGACTGGTAGTTAATCCTGAGCTTTTGGTGACCGTACTAGGCTATATCATTAACAGTTGATTCATAATGGAAAAAAGTCATACCTAACACCATAACCTAGTTGTTTAATATGTTTTCTAATGAATCAACTGAAGCAGTAACCTGCGTTGATGTTACCTTTCTTTATGCATTTTACTTAGATAACATTCGTTTTCGGCTTGTATTCTGTTTCTGTCGTATTGTAAACTGTGGTAGCTAGGGTTACACTGACTTTTTTCTTAGCCCCTGTGGATTTAAAATAAACAAATATGGGTTCATAACTTGAAAAGGTTTGCTAAATCTTTCTGCCGTATTAAAGCGCTTGGGATTCTTATAAAGACGTTTTGCGTGTATATTTAAAGGTATTTGATAGGTATTGAATCCTTTCAAACTGTTCTTAATTAAACTGAATAAGTGTCACTTAAAACGCTCGTATCACCCTAAGACCGGTTTTTCCACAACTCGACATGAGACATGGATATAGGCACACAACACTGAATTCTTCCGGTTGTTTTTGAACTAAATACCAAAGTATCGGAATTTCGCGGTTAATATGCACGCATAACATACTTTTCTCAAAAATTGTTATTTTGTGTACAATTAGTTATGCATCACGAATACCACTTGATAATATTGGAAGAAGTACAAATAAGACACGATGTTTTAGCTTATAACGTGATTATTTCGTCTTCCATATTCTGGTATTAAACTGTTTATAAGTTGAATTCTCTGTTCGAAGATTTTAAAAGTTGCAACAGACAGTCCACCTTTTAGTTGTCAAGATCGTTTTACCTGGTGTTTGGCTTTTTGTTATTTTTTCCAACTAATCTTTTTGTCAAATTTTATATGGAAGTTTGATTTCTTTTGTTTATCTAGTTCATTTTTTTTTCACATTAACACAACTGTTTTGGTGACTTTGACATTCAAGTGGTCAGTAGTTGTTGGTGTTTTAGGATTTGTCCTGGTGCGAACTTAACAGACGCAAAGACCAATCACTAATTATTCGGACTTGTTACATACCCACGAGTACGAGAGCGAGGAAAAACACGATAGCGTAGTCGGATGGAATGGATGCCAAGATACCGATGCGTTCCAACTAACTGGCTAGAGAGTCGAATACGAGCAGTACAACGTAACACGACAGCGTGCCAAATGGCAAGGATTCTTGACCGGGTGCCTTCAGCTTAGCGAGTCCAGTTAAACTATGAAGGTCAGCATCGATGTCGAAATTCGTCAAACCCTAGGCTATTGATTTGTGGAAGTGTGACACTACAGTGTAATCTTTCACCTGGTTTGCATACGTTCACTTTAGTTAGTGATACTATAAATAACAGTCGCCAAGTTAATACAAAGCGAAAGTCAGTATTTTATGATAAGTCAATTTGTTTATATTACGAAATAACGGTGATAATAAATCGTTTAAGCTGTGTGGAGATTAAAACAGTTACTTATCGCATCCACCAAAACTTCAGATGGCTTTCCGTTTGTTGACAATTGATTCTTGATTTATTCATAAGTCTCCTGGATACTTTGTCACCTTTTGTATTCGTCAGATTTGTATCTTAGAATTATTCACAAAACCAGGGTTATGAGAAGGGTTATTTCGCTGGAACAATTTACTTGGTTAAGTTTCTTTTGGTACGCTTTTTTTTACATGAAAAGATCGACCTCACAGGTCTGGAAAATTGACTATTAAATTTTTCGCTTTATTAAGTATGATTCTGACTGATACTAAACAATCATTTCTTCAACAGTTGTTTGCGTCTTAAGACGTCATAGTTTTGAAAAGTGATCGGAGAATTCTGAACTTGGAAAGCTGAGCATGAATTTCATGAAGGCAGGTATATTCTGCATTTCCATAATAAAGTAGTACATTGTCCATACACTTTTCCAGTTCTAATTTACTGGGATTCATCGATGTTATGGTGCTACTTATTGTTCATACAAAGTCTTTTGCCAAACGAATCTCACGAGGATATTGTAAAACTGTGTATAGATAGAAGCAAGAAACAGCCTTTAACCTATTATCGCAATTGATTTTGGTGAAATCCCTTTCACTATCAGTCACCGAGACAAAGAGTCAACTGTTCCTCAATAAGTAGTGCATGACTTTTGCTTCAAGAGCGTATATGTGTTACTTCTGACCATCTCATATTGGAGTTGACAATTCCATAATCTTAATATGAGTTTATGAAAAGACCACAGTAGTTTGCGTGGTTGTTCTGCAACATCTCACAAAATGTAGAGCATATATTCCACGAAAATTTTCAGTATGATAGGTCAAACGAGCGAACTAAACCGTTCCTTGTCATATAAACAATATCAAAATCGGCGTTTTCTCACCGGTGTTTCTGGTATGCTAATCATTTCATTTTTCTGCACTCAAGTGCACGAAATAAAAACTTCGATAAGTGAATAATACTGTGTTTCAGGAATAATAGTCCTGTCGCTCAAATGAAATTACTCTATAGGATTTAGT